TTTATTTAGCCCAGGCTGATCTCAAACTCTTAAATCTCCTGCTTCCCTCCCATGGCTACCAGTGTGTGGAGTCCAGGCACAAGCCCCAAGCCAGTCAGTTGCCTTTTAGCATGCAGTAGCAGCTGTTTCCCACTAGAAAATCAGAAGACCATGTATAAGCTAAATCACCCCACAGCTGGCTGGCTTTTTCCACTTGGCAGTATGATCTTGAGATTTCCACACTGAGTAAAATGAACCTTTTTTACTCAGGTTCCTTCTCTCTTACTTCTGAACATCTGAGTCCTCACAACGCCAGAAGCAGCCCTCAGCATCCCTGGGCATCGCTCTTGGCCCACGCAGCTGAGTGTTTTTCTTGGGAACATAGCAATTTCTGGGTCATAGGATGTGAAACTTTCAGTTTTAATGAATAATGCTAATTTGCCCTTCAAACCGGCTGTGCTCATTTCTTCTCCCATCAGCCTTTGAGAATGCCATTCTCTGCATCCTCAGCAACACCTGATGTTATCAGCTACTCTTCTTACTGCCAGCCCACTGGGTAGAAGATGGTATCTTGTTTTGATTTTGTTCCCGACTTCTCATGAGGGCAGGCCCCTTTTTGTGTTCATTAGCTGTCCCTATCTCCTCATCTGTGTCCCTTACGGTCATTATATGGTTCATCTTTTGCTATTTTTCTATACTGTTTTCTGAAGTGGTTTCTGTTATTGTTTTGTTTTGTTTTGTTTTGTTTTTTGAGCTGTGTGGCCCCAGTCCCCTTTTTACACACGCGAGTTGCCCAGAGTAGTTTGACCTTGCAGTCCTCCTGCGCCAGCTTCCCATTGTAGCTGGGGTCGCAGGTGTGATCTTGCTGTTATGCCTAGCTCCTTCAGTATTTTCTAATTATATTGTTTACAGTTATTGATAGTGTGAATGTACGTGTGTGTTCACACATATGTCACAGCATGTGAGAAGATATCAGAGGACAACTATGTGGGTTCTGGGGATTGAACTCGGCTCATCAGGCTTAGCAGCAAGTACCTTTACCCACCCCCCAAACCATGTTACTAGTTCCTCTTCAGTGTTTCTCAGGGGAGTTCCAGGTCCAGTCCTTCTGAAGTATAGTCAGAAAGGGGTCAGGGAAAGTGAAATGGGCACTCAGGCTGGAACGTGGTATGCTAGGGTGGCTGGAAGACCTTAGGTCACCTGCACTGGACACTGTAGAGAGCCATACAGGGAAGCTCCTGAGGTTGCCACACCCTAGGACAGAGCTGCCTGCCCCTGAATCCCTGCTCCATGCCCCCGTACCTCACAGGGCCTCAACACACTACTGTACTGCCTTCTGATTCCCAGAAGAATCACACCCATTCTCCTCAAGATGGAGAGTATGGGCAAACTGGGGTTCCGCTTGGTGGCTCTCCAGACTCTTCCTGCAGGTGAAACCTCCACATGAGCTTGGACAGGACTTCTGAAGGGACACCTGACAGTCCCACGTGCAAGTCCCACCGAGCCAGTGTTTGTTTGCATGCTTCTTCAAGTACGTTGCTCCTGGTTAGTCTTTGGATGCCACTTCTTCTCTTCTTTACCTGTCCCCACCATACCCTCCTCTGCACACTGCATTCTTATTTCTTATGAAGTCTCCGTGTCTTCATAGGACTTTGATGTCTCAGTGACAGCTCTGAAAACTGTTCCACTTTGGGGTTTTATCTTTCCTTTTTTGTTGTTGTTCTTTGTGGTGACGGTGGTAGGTCTTTTTCCCTGAAGTCCTTAAGACAGCTCAGTTCTGTGAGGTAGTCGGACTGCCTGTCAGTGAATCCCACTATCCCCAACAAACTCCAAGTCACCAGCAATTGGGACTGGTCTGACCTACCGCGAGTGCAAGGGTAGAAAAAAGATGTATTGTCCAGGTGTAGGGAAAGGAGAAAGGAAAAGGGAAAGAAAATGCAGGTGTGGATTTTGGGGGGCTATGGGTTTTGTTGTTGTTGTTTGTTTGTTTGCTTTGGGTTTGGAACTAGGTGGATAGGTTGGTTGGTTGGTTGGTTGGTTGGTTGGTTGGTTGATTGGTTGGTTGGTTGGTTGGTTTAGTTTTTTGAGACAGGGTTTCTCTGTATAGCCCTGGCTATCCTGGAATTTACTTTGTAGACCAGGCTGACCTCAAACTCAGAGATGTAACTGTCTCTGCCTTCAAGTGCCAGAATTAAAGTCATGCACGACACAATGCCTGGCTTTGTCTGGAAATAAAAGATTCTCATTGGAAAATATTTTAAATGTTGAGTAAAAGAAATAAGCCTCACCTACCACCAAGTCGATACTTCTAAGAATGAGCAAGATGGCTTTCACACTTGATAATTAAAAAGACAAGAAACCCATGCAATATGGAATTAAATATTCAAAGGGACTGGAAGATGGTAAAGTGCTTGCCCCACAAACATTAGGACTTGTATTCAATCCCCCGGATGTGGGTAGTATACACTTAAAATCCCAGCTCTGAGGAGGCAGAAGCAAGTGGATCCCTGGAGCTCACTGGCCAGCCAGCCAGCTTAGCTTTATTCATGAGTCTCAGACCCTAGTGAGAGACCCTGACTCCAAAAATGAGGTGGTTGCCTCTTAAAGAATGACACCCAGGCTTGATCCTGGCATCCACATGCACATGCACATACACCCACATGTGCACACAGATGCATACCACCGAAAGAAACAAATTTTAAAGAAAAAAAATAGGGTTGAATATAAACCAGACCTGGTGTCTCATGCCTTGATTCCAACACTTAGGAGGCAAGAAGATCATAATGAGTTTGAGGCTAACCTAGAATATATAACAAGACGCTGTCTAACAGTTCTATATCCTTGACTGGATAGCTGGAATGAAAAAGGGGATTCTTGCCATAGATAACAAGACAGGACACGTGCAGGTCCAGGCAGTTGCACCCATTTGGGCTGGCATTTGCTTTAGGGAATGATGTCTCAGATGTCATATACCAAAGAGGAGATGGATGCATGAAACCCATTTATATTTAAAAAGGTGGGGGGGCAGGGAGAATATTCTGGAAACATTCACACAGAAGCCATATTTCCATGCAACTTAAACCTCAAAGAGCAAAGCCGAACTGTATCCTACTAGGGTGGCCTAAAGAGAAAGGCCAGTTGAAAAGCGGAAAACGGTCTAAGAGGTAGAGTGCCCCTTAGACAGTACTCAGTCCAAGTTCGTTGCCATTTGTGTTTGGAGCTAGAACGTATTGCCTTTGTTATGTTTCCCTTTGCCCAGAAGATTGCTAATTCTTTGTAGACATACTGTTCTCACATCTCAAAATCATGAAACTAAGTGTTCTACCCTCTTTTTTTCATTTAATTTATAGTGGTTCCCACTGTTGTAGTTTGTAAATACCACCACCACCCCCAAGCTGGGAATAAAACCCAAACCTAGATAAAGCCTCACACATCTTAGGTAAGTGCTCTACCACTGTACTACAGCTCTAACCTCACATAAGCACAGTTTGTGCGCATGTGTGCTAACAGAAATCAAACCTATGGCCTTCTATTTGCTAGGCAAGTACTCTACCACTGAGCTACATCTCCAGACTCTGTGATTTTTACCTTAGGGTTTTTTGTTGTTGTTGTTGTTGATTTTCAAAAGCATATCTTAAATACTTTATCATTTTAAAGTAATTTTAAGCAATAGAGTGGTACATGTAATAAAAATACTTGGAAAGCAGAGGCAGGTGGATCTCTGTAAGTTCAAGGCCAGCCTGAACTACAAAGCAAGTTCTAGGTTAGCCAGGGCTAAATAATGAGACCCTGTATCAAAAAATAAATGTGTGTCTGACAAGATGGCTGAGTAGATAAAAGCACTTGCTGCCAGTCCTGAGGACCCAGGATCAGTTCTCAGAGCCTACATAGTGGAAGGGAAGAACTACCTCAGGCTGTCCTGACCTTCACACACATGGTGGGATGAGTGTTAATGCGCACACATAACTAAATAAATGTAATAAAAAGCGATTCTTTTTAAATGAAAGTTCTTCCATTAGTTCTAGTGCTCCTTTACACACTCCCATTGCAGTTCCTACTTCCCTCCTCACTTTGAGCCACTGCTCAAAGTTTAGTTGAGTATAGTATTACATGGGTTTGTAATTTTCCATCTGATGAGAAAAGTCAGGGTCAAGTTGTTCCCCCATTTGGGGACATTTGGGGGTTTTCCTGGTTTAGCTATCTATTGAAAACATAAATGAAAGATTCCACTGGATGGAACTCAGCCTGGACTGCAGATATGATTGACGACTTATGTTACTCGGGTGACTTTAGAGTCATTGGTGCTGAATAAAACCCATCTGGATATAAATTTCAAGTAGAAGAAGGGGCCTGCAATGTGCTCAGGAGTGCTATGTGGACGGTTCCACACTGAACACTTCCTAGCCACGTTCTTTTCTGTACCCGATATCCTGAGATAAAGGACCTTCTTCCCATCTAGCCATGGAAAGCCATGGTTCAGAGGAGTCCAGTGCCTGACCCAGGGTCACACTCTACATAGTTCAGAGCAGGGCTCTTAAGTTTTCAGACACCAATTTGAGGATTTGTAGTTCTGCTACAAAGAGCAGGGGACCTTGATTTCCTGTCTTTACATAAGCAAAAACCATTATCATAGCTATAAACTACCTTCAACCCAAAAGAAATACTGGGCTGAGTGGCCATGGGGTCTGGGCTATTAGGTGGTGAGTGTTTTGGTGCCTGGGATTGAACCCTCATACATGCCAGGCAGGTTCTACTTCTGAGCTCCACCCCTACTCGGTTGTTAGTTATTTTCAAACTGTAGCTTGGGTACCTAATACCCAATGGTTTGTGTGCTTTGTGTCAGTCCCAATAAGCATTGCTTTGAGAACCTAAGAAATCTGAGGCCTGAAAAGAGGTGAGGAAACTCCTAGCAGAATTGGCTTCAGAGGCACTCAAGCCCAATTGTGTGTGATGCTGGGCCCCTCAAGAGACATCTGGACAGCTGAGTGAGGCCTCATTCTGCTCTCTGCTCCTCCTCCTAGATAACAGTGACCTGATCGCATGCACAGTCATCACCAAGGACGGCGGCATGGTTCAGCGCTTCCTGGCTGTGGATATTTACCAGATGAGCCTGGTAGAGCCTGATGTGTCCAGACTCGGCTGGGGAGTGGTCAAGTTTGCCGGCCTTCTTCAGGTGAGAGTCTTAAGAACCCGTCTGCCTTCTCAGCCAGCTCCACACACGCATGCCTAAGCGTCAGTTCTATAATCACTTCTAATAACACAGGAAGGATCTGCACAAAAGCCAGAACACTGCACAGACAAAAGCCAAGTTCCCTTTACTGAAGCCTTAATCCTAACGTTCTCCCCTTCCTTCAGGAGCCAGCCCGTTGTCAGGCTGATCCTTCCAGATCTGCTTCACTGCCAAGTGCAAGTAATAAATGTACTGTTTTTTAAATTGCGTATCCAACCAATTGTCAATCAAACTTGATGGAGAAGGACCACATTGTTGAAATAGGAGCGGCGGCAGGGCTGCGTCCCCGGCACCCGGCCGCCCGCATGGCTAGCTTATGCCCAGAAATAATTACACGGAAACTGTATTCTTTCAAACACTGCCTGGCCCGGATAGTTCCAGTTCCTTATGGCTAGCTCTTACATATTGTTCTAACCCATTTCTAATATTCTGTGTAGCCCACGAGCTGGCTTACCAGGGAGGATCTTAACCTGCGTCTGTCTGGAGCGGGAGAACCATGGCGACTCCTCACACAGCTTCTTTTTCCCAGCATTCTCCTCTGTCTACTCCGCCTACCTAATTTTCTATCCAATAAAATGGGCCAAGGCAGTTTCTTTATTAATAAGAAATCACTCCCACATCACCACATGGTTGTATACATTTATAATCTCAGCACTCAGGCAGTAGAATCAGGATGGTATCCACAAATTCAAAGACAAACTGGTCTATTTAATAAGTTCCAAATCAGTTGGGTAAGTCCATGTAGCAAGACCTTGTCTCAAAATAAAATGAGGGTAGAGGTAGGATAGGAGTGAAGATAGGGTGCTGGGGACGGGGTGTAGCTTAGTTGATAAGGACTGCTTACCTAGCATACAAGTGGCCCTGGATTCTATTTCCAACACTGCATAAAACTGGGTATAATCATACATATCTATAACTCAGGAAGTTAGGAGGTAGAGGATGATCAGAAGTTAAAGTTCATCTTTGGCTACCCAGGGAATCTGAGGCCAGCCTGAGCTACATGAGACCCTGTCTCAAACAAACAAAAACAGACTAGGTGTTGTGGCACACACCTTTAATCCTAGTGCTTGGGAGGCAGAGCCAGGTGGATCTCGGTAAGTCTAAGACCAGCCTGGTCTACATAGCCAGCTCCAGTCCAGCCAAGGCTACATAAAACAAACAAAAACTTCAGAAAGAAATATAACCAGGCAGTGGTGGTGCACATCTTTAATCCCAGCCGTCAGAAGGCAGAGGCAGACAGAACTCCAAGTTTGAGGCCAGCCTGGTCTTCAGAATGAGTTTCAGGACAGCCTTATCTTTATTCTCTAAATAACTGTTTACACAGCATCTATATGGCATGAAGTCTTGTGCATCATCTAGGGAGGGTTCAGAGTCTACAGGAAGATGTAGTAGGTTATATGAAGATGCTGTGCCATTTAAAGTAAGGGACTTGAGCATCTGCAGATTTTGGTGTCTCCGTGGGTAGGGGAATACCCAAGGGATACTTGTACATGTATTTGAGAGTGTATATAGATTTTTATGCCTGGCTTTTCTCCTAGTCTGTCTTGGAGTATGTCTAGCAATTTTAGCATTTGCATACCTGCTGGTATTCTTTTACATACTGACCACAGCCTCCCTCTCCTCATTCTCCTCTCCCAATTCCTCCCCCCCCCCACCCGCCCAGCTCCCCCACCCCATCAATCCTCTCCTCTTTTGTCTCCATCCAGAAAAGGGCAGGTCTCCCATGAGTATCAATAAAACATGGCATATCAAGTTACAAGTCCCCGTGTATTAAACCCAGTATGAAGAGTAAGGTCCCAAAAAAACAGTAAAAGAGTCGAAGCAACCCCTGTTCCCGCTGTTAGGAGTCCCACGAGGGCCAAGCTACATAACTGTAACATATATGCAGAGGGCCTAGGCCAGTCCCATGCAGGCTCCCTGGTTGGTGCTTCAGTCTCTGTGAGCCCCAATGGGCCCAGGTTAAATGATGGTGTGAGCCTTCCTGTGGTGTCCTCGACCCCTCTTGGTTCCTATACTCCTTTTTCATCATCCTCCACAGGAATCCCAAATCCCACAGGAATCCTATCTAAGGTTTGGCTGTTGAGTCTCTGCATCTGCCTCCCTCCATCAGTTGCCTCTTTGATGACAATTGGGCCAGGCACCAGTCTGGTTCAGGCTTACCTATCCACCATTATCAGAAGTCTAAGCTGGGGTCCTCCCTGTAGACTCTTGGGAGATCCCCTACACCAGACTTCTACCCAACCCCAAAATGCGCCCCCAGCAGTCTCTTTCAGCACTCTCCCCCTCCACCCCCCAACCAGATTGCTCATGTTCCCATCCTCACCTGCCCTCAGTCCACTCATGAAATCTCTTATATTTCCCCTTCCCAGGGAGATCTAGGTGTTACCCCCGTGAACGTTCTTGTTATCTAATCTCCCTGGATCTGTGGACTATAGCTTAGTTATGCTTTATTTTACAGCTGTATCCACTTATGAGTGAGAACATACCATGTTTGTCTTTCTTGGTCTGGGTTACCTCACTCAGGATGATTTTTTTTCTTGTCCCTTCAACATGTATAAATGTACCACATTTTCTTTTTCCGTTCCTCAGTTGAAAGACATCTAGGATGCTTCCAGGTTCTGGCTATTACAGATAAAGCTGCTATGAACATAGTTGAGCAAGGGACCTTGTGCATCCTTTGGGTATATGCCCAAGAGCGATGTAGCTGGGTTTTGTGGTAGGTCGATTCCCAGTTTTCTGAGACACTGAAACCACACTAACTTCCAAAGTAACTGTACAGAAAATCATTAGGTCATACTTCAAAAACCTATACTCCACAAAATTAGAAAATCTAAAAGAAATGGACAAATTTCTTGATAGATACCGCTTACCTATATTAAATCAAGATCAAATAAATAATTTTAAAAGATCAATAACAACTTTACCTAAGTTAAATCAAGATCAAATAAACAATTTAAATAGCCTGATAACTCCTAAGGAAATAGAAGCAGTCATTAAAAGTCTCTCAGCCAAAAAAAATTAAAAAAAAACAGGCCCAGGCCAGAGAGTTTTAGTCTAGAATTCCACCAGACTTTCAAAACTAATACCATTAATTATTCCACAGAATAGAAACAGAAGAAACATTGCCAAATGCTTTCTATGAGGCCACAGTCACCCTGATACTCAAACCGCACAAAGACCCAACAAAGAAAGAATTACAGACCAGTTTCACTCATGAACACAAATACAAAAATACTCAATAAAATACTGGCAAACCAAACCCAAGAACAAAAAAAAAAAAAAAAAAAAAAAAAAAAAAAAAAAAAAAAAAACAAAAAAA